TCAAGCATTGGAATACATGAAGAGTTCCGAATTCATGGTCAAGAAGCTACTTGAGATACTAATGAAAGGACTAAACGTAAAAGAGATCGATGAATCCAAAGAAGCGATTTTGATGGGTTCAAAGCGGATTAACCTCAACTACTACCCAACATGCCCTACCCCGGAGCTCACAATCGGTGTGGGTCGTCATTCAGACGTATCCACATTGACTGTACTCCTTCAAGACGATATCGGAGGGCTTTACGTACGAAACACCGAAACTTCAAAATGGGTTCATGTCCCTCCGGTTTCTGGATCTTTGGTGATCAACGTTGGAGATGCACTTCAAATCATGAGCAACGGGAAGTATAAAAGCGTTGAGCATCGTGTCATTGCTAATGGAATCAATAACAGGATTTCAGTCCCGATATTTGTGAACCCAAGGCCTAGTGATGTGATCGGACCATTGCCTGAAGTGGTTGGGATTAATGGAGAGAAAGTGCTTTATAAGGATATTTTGTACTCGGATTATGTCAAACATTTCTTCAGAAAAGCACACGATGGGAAGGCCACGGTTGAGTTCGCAATGATATAAGGTTAACGAAGTGTTTTTGTGTAAAACAAAAGCTTTTAAATTGTGGAGAAGAAAGAATAAAAGAGAGTTTCATAAGCAATGTATGATGATCAAGCTTGTATAATCCCTTGATGCATGGTAGATGTTATTTTCTAGGTGTTGTCTTTTGCCTTTTGAGTTTATATTTTAATTTTATACTAAATTACATATACCATTGTGCTTAGTGAAGAGTTCTGGATGGAATCCTATTGTTTAATTGTACTTTTGCATTGGCCATACATAAATCAGTGTTTTTGGTTTGTTGGTCTTTAGAGTAATCCTCAACCTAAAATCTATAAAAAATAATGATTTTGCGCTTGTATTCTTAATAAGGGTTAAATTCACACGCAATTTAACCACGTCATAAAAAATTAAAATAAAAACAAAGTCAAAATAAAGAGATAATTCACATGCATGCTGCTAGATCCGATCCGAATCCAAAGAAAAAAAATGCATAGCAAGCATCAAGACGTAAAAGAATATTCTCACATGGTCTAATAGATCATTGACCAAATCCCGCTCTTGAATTTCACAACAAATGTGAAATGGGAGATCGACGATGATCAAGACAACAATGAATGCATTTAACATAATCTTGATTTGATACTTATCCACCAATAAACAAAAATTTGATTTTGATTTATTTGACACAATTGGGTTTGGAATTAGTTTTATTTAATTTCAGATTTAATATATATGATCCGGTCAAATTGTGTTTGAATTTTGGGTTTGTTGAAGAGGATAATGAGGGATTAAAGAAAACTGAAAAAGACAATGATAAAATGGTTTGTTTTTTTTTTTTTTTTTAATGGTTTTAACCGTTGAACCATTACTTTTAGTTAGTGCTAATGAACTGAATATAATGTAACGTTTATGAGAGTTCGACGAGAACAAATGAATATAGTCAAGGTTTTTAGTTCCTTTAGTTAATCAATCACGAAAAATGATATTGTGTGTTAATCTACACTCGTGACCTTCTCTTTATGTTCGTTTAAATTTTAATGTACATTGGTTCTTTAACGTTTGTTTATATTTTATTTAAACAAGGAAAACAACATAGCTTTTTTTTTTAAAAAATAATATTATATGCAATAATTATTACTTGATTAATTTATTAAAATCTTATTGTGGTATGGTGTATGTTGTATGTTGTACGTTTAACTTCTTTTTTTCATTTGGTAAGTGCTTATAATATTTTTTTTGTTACAATTTTCATCTATTTTATACATGAAATGATTATATTACTTTTATCAATTTATTTCTCAATATATGGAATGTTTATAATTTTAAAAAATAAGATGACCCACCCCACTCCCCCACAACTTCTGAACTCCTCTGAAATTCTCTTCCTTCCTTTGATTCAAGCCGCCCAACCGCCGTCGATCAAACAAGCTCCGACAACCATCTTTGATGCCATTCTTCAAAAAATGAGAGGATACAAATTTAAATTGACAGTTTCTAAGATCCAAATTTATAGTATACAAAATCCAAAAGCGATGGTTTCTAAGATCCAAATTAATAGTAAAAATGAATTGGATTGCACAAATATCTATTTTCTTACTAAAACTAAATTCATCAAATTCAAAAGCATAAACATCTAACCTAGCTTCAAAAAATAATAAAACCCTAACATACATTAGATCAAACCCATAAGCAAAATCTTCAAAAAAATCTGGATTTATCGTTGTTCCAACAAACGAGATATTTCAAGAAATTTGGTCCAAGTTCATGAAGAAAAGCACTAACAGTCCGGTAGAGACTTTGAGAGAAGGAATGATTTCGATAGTAAGATTAATCTTCATAACATTGTTTTGTAATAGGTTAATAATAAACAAATAATAAGTGCATTAAAAAAGAATTAGATAAAGGTAATATAACTATATTATGTTTGACAGGGATTAAAAAATATATCAAAAAATACCTTATAGACAGTCCTAGTGAAAAAAAATGAACAAAATGCCCAATTGACCCTAAACCACTAAGAGGATTTGAGTAATTTACTCTTATTACTTTTTTTCTTTGTTTTTCTATAGCAAACCGGTGACAGTTATACATGTTGTCTTCCATTAGGTTTTGAGGAACGGTGACGTGTGATTCCTTTTTTTTTTTTTTTTTTTTCATATATTCATTTACATCCGGTTCTTCACAACTTTTTTTTTTGTTCATTTGTATTCTTTTAATCTTTTATGTCCATGTTATATGTTTGTTTATGCTCATGCGTTATCACTACAAGAAATCAATGCATTAGCGGCGACACAATTAGCGGCGACAAAGGCTTTTAGCGGCGACATAGTATAATGTTGCCGCTAAAAGCTTTTGTCGCCGCTAATTGTGTCGCCGCTAATGCCTTGTTGCCCGAATCCGCGTTATCCCCTTCTGGTAAACCTTAGCCGTCCGATCGAGTATATAATCCAACGGTTGGGGCCTCGTTTTCGCACAAAAGCAATACCGGCGACAATTTGTCGCCGCTAAAGGTCGAAAATAGTCGCCGCTAAAGCTCGAAAAAAAGACGCGGCATAAGTTCCCTCGTTGGTTGTCGCCGCTATTGGCTTGTGTCGCCGCTATTGATATCGCCGCTAAAAGTCGACGCAAATAACAACCCCTTTCTGCTTTCACAGCTTTCATTTTTCTGTGTTTTTATCCCTTCTCTTCGAAGATTTTTGCTCAATCGGGTTTCCCAGAGGCTAGAAGACATACCGACGACGCCTATAGACCACCGGAAACTCCCCACTTCCACATCTCTGATGATTTAACTGTGGCATTAATTCCGACATTGTTGTTGTCGATTTCCTCTGTGGTTTGTGTTTTCGTTCCTCTTTTCTTCTTTTCCTTATCTTTTAATGTCGATTTCTACTTGTATTTATGATTAGTTGCACAAAATTGTTTCTTTTCTCTTCTGACCAGAATTCCAAACCTAATTGTTTTTTTTTTATTGGTTTTTATTGTCTTAAGTTACACCACCACCACCAAGAACTGTTGCAACATCGAAGACTACCACCACCAATTGAAAGAGAGCAAAATTTTTGGAACCACAGGTGCATTTTTTGTAATTTGTTATATATGTGTGCATTTATGTGTGTGTTTTGTGTATATATATGTGTGTGAAATATGTTATATGTATGTGTATTTCATATATGTGTGTGAAAATTGTGTGTATTTCATCTATGTGCATGTATAAAATGTACGTATATATGTGTATAATGTATGTATGTATGCATTTGTATGCAATTTGGATTGTGTTTATGTTGTTTTATGTGTATAAAAAGTATGTATATATGTGTATAATGTATGTATGTATGTATTTATAAACAATTTGGAGTGTGTTGATGGTTGTTTTATGTTTATAAAAAGTGTGCATATATGTGTATAATGTATGTATGTGTGTATTTGTATGCAATTTGGAGTGTGTTGATGGTTGTTTTATGTGTATAAAAAGTATGTATATATGTGTATAATGTATGTATGTGTGTATTTGTATGCAATTTGGAGTGTATTTGTATACAATGTGTAAACTACAATGTTATAATGGAAAAAAAAAACCAAAAACAAGTAGGATGTTATTATTGAAAATGTTATTTAAAGTAAATTACTATGATAGTTCCTATGTAATATGTATTTGTAAATAAATTGGTAATTATTAGTTTGTTGGTTTGTTAGTTTGATTGCTGGTTTAATTTAGAAGGTTAATGTAGTTAGTTGGATTGTTAATTTGATAGCTTGTTGATATATAGATAAATTAGTAATCGGTAGTTTTCTTATCATTTGGTAGTTTTTAGGTTGGTTTAAGTTAATATGTTAAATTACAAGTTTATATGTTGTTATTTACTATGTAGTTGGAGAATCTTATACCAATGTCCAACAATTCGGAGAATACTATGGAATTTATAGGAGGGAACGAGGGTGGCGGTGATGATGACACGTAGTGTTAGTTTTATCTTTTATTAGAGATTGTAGTACGACAAAAATTTATAAGAATTTTGTTATTTATTTTGGTGTATGTATGGTATTATAAAACTTGGATGTTATGTAATCGTTTTTCTGCATTTAACGTATCGGTTTTTCTGCAGTTAATGTTATTATGTATCGGTTTTTTGACAACTTGAAATGGCTGCTTTTAAAAAAAAAAAAATTAAAAAAGCCAATAGCGGCGACACTATTAGCGGCGACATAGATCATTAGCGGCGATATTATCATTAGCGGCGATACGTATCATTAGCGGCGACGGTAAGCATTAGCGGCGACTTTTTGAGCAATAGCGATAAAGCAGTAGCGGCGACGTGTCGCCGGCAAAGGTATTATCGGCGACTTTTGTGAGCAATAGCGGCGATTTTTGTCGCCGGTAATACCCTTTTTTCTTGTAGTGTATGTTCATTCACATTCGTTTAGCATCTTAATGAACATAAACAAATGAACGTGAACAAAATAACTTTCTAACGAATGAACACAAACAAGAAAATTTGTTTGTTCCTTTATTCAGTTAAACTAAAACAAACGAACATCAACAATCTCTTATTTGTATTCATACGCTTCGTTTATAGCACTACACTTATTTAAGAATCGTCAATGCAAAAGTACAAACTTATTGGACTGAATCCATAACTTTTCACCAAGCACAAGGACCATTATTGTAATTTTGGATTTCACATTTCACAACATGATTATATTCTACTCCGAGTGCGAAGCTCCTCCTTCAACTGATCCCTTAAAACTCTCCTTAGTAACTTATTAGATGCCGTCCGAGGAAACTCCGGAACAATCTTAACAAAACTCACCTGTTCATTAATTAACAAAAATCATAAACACATAGTTAACTCTTTTGATAACCTTAAAAAAAAAAAAACAAGAGTGGATTAGAGGAAACCTTAAACAAGGGATTAAGGTTTCTTTGGATAGCCTTTGAGAATATCATCTTTAGATTCTCGGGTTCAGCAGTGAACCCTTTTTTTAGTACCACAAATACAGCCAAAAGTTCTGGACCACCAATTGCGGGTGACGCACTGACTGCGGCTGTTTCCATGATGCTGACATCAGCATTGTCACAAACACGCTCGATTTCAATTGAACTTGTCTGCATACACAAAACCCATATTCATTTTCTTTTAATATAAAAAATAAAAAATTTATTATGAACTACAATACCTTTATGCCACCAAGATTCATGGTATCATCAGCCCTCCCTTGTACAACAAAATAGCCTCCAATTGTTCTCTTGATTATGTCTCCATGTCTCCTTAGTTTCTATATAAACAAACAATCACATTATGTTATAACTTTTTATAATTTTTTTTTTTTAAAAAAATTTATAAAGTTGTGATACCATTCCATTGTAAATTGGCATTCCTTTGAAGTAAATCTCTTCATTATCTGCATTAAGTAGTCTATCTGTTGCTCCCATATACAGAGAAAACAACCCAACTTCACCAACACATGGTTCTTCATCTGCCTGTCATATATATACATAAAACACAACAATCATTTAAATTAAAGGAACAAAAACACAATAAATAAAAAATATGGTGAGTTTTGATTAGACATTTGACAGCCTATTTCTTTTTATCTCCTATAAGTGTTGAATGGATAAATGATGTCTATCCCGAATAAGTGTTGTATGAACAAAGATTGTTTCTTTTTTAGACTGGTTTTTGGTTTTTGTTATTGAGCACTTGGATTGGGTTAAAAATAGTGGTGGTTTTTTTTGTTTCAATTAAATTAGATTATTTGTAACTTTTTACTTATATAGATTTCTGAAAATTTCAGTAGTAGGTTGTTTATTGTTATAGCCGTAGAAAAGTGACCCAGGAACCCAACCCAAAATTAATGGGCTTGGTTGAGATTTTCAACCTAATTAAATTAAACGGGTCAACCTATATAATACAGAAGGGTAAATTGTCATTTTTATAATTCAGATAACCAATTAAGAGGTTCTAACCAAACATGTTAAAAATTCAGACACTCTTTGAAATTCAAATCCTACTAAACAACCTATAAGTGAACCTTCTGAAGTAAAGTAAATAACCATTTTACCCTTTTGTCTATAAGTGAGCCTTAGGTTGTGTTTGGCAGACTAGCTAATAGCTGAAAACGTAGACGATAAAAAATGATCGTTTGGTAAAACTAACTGATAAGCTAGCTAAAATATATAAAGTGACATAAAAGGGCATGTACGATATTGACTTTTTTTTTTATAATTGATAAATGGTACATTTGGGAGAATTTTAGAACTGCTAGTCTGAGTAGCTTTTTAAAAGGCTTGAAAATTAAGCTGACTGTGAGATGTAGCCTTAGGCTATGTTTGGCACACCATAGTTAGCTGATAAGCTAGCTTATTTTTCAAGCTTTATTAAATTGTGATGTTTGACAAACCAAGAAGTAGATGATAAACTAGCCTTTTAAAAAGCTACATAAAGTAGCTTTTCATGAGCTTTTTTAAAATTTACCGAATATACCCTTAATTAATTATAAATAACATGCTTTTCTAAATGTCCCTTTATGTCATTTTATATCTTCCAGCTAGTTTTTAGCAAACGTTATTTTTATCAGCTAGCAGCTAACTTTTCAGCTATAGTTAATTTTTCAGCTACCAGCTAGCTTTTCAACTAGTCTACCAAACATAGCCTTAATAAAAGAAGCGTCCATATATATTGGTCTTTCCTTCTACTTTATACATAAAGGCCTACTTTTTTCTATTTAAGTAAAATAGAAACATGGTATATATATATATATATATATATATATATATATATATATATATATATATATATAAGTGTATTAAGTGAAAAAGAAAGATGTTACATAGGGAACTCCATGCTCATCAAGAATGAGAAAGCCAGTTGTCATTGAAGCAGAGCTAAAAGCTCCAAAAGCTTGTGGCTGAAGAAGATTGCCTTGAATGTAAGAAGAAGCAAGCTCAGTGCCTCCACAACATTCAATGATAGGTTTGTAATAAGCCCTTGAAGAAAGCCAAAGATCATCATCAACATTCGAGGCTTCACCTGTAGATGCGAATAACCTGTTTGGAAATTATGTTGAAAAACCATCGTTAATGAGAATTTTTTTATTTAAATTTAAATGAGGATTAGTTAATTAAATTACTTGATCTTTGTCCAATCTAAACCTTCCATACATCTTGTACTTTTCCATGTCTTCACTATGCTTGGAACTGTACCCAAAGTTGTCACTCCTGCATCCTGAAAGTTTTTTTTAATTATGTAAAGTAATATATTGAAAAATTTAAAAGATTTTATGTTTTTTTTTTAAATCTTCCAGCAACCCCACCATAAAAAAAGCACAAACTAATATTGGTGGATTTTCATATACAACCCCAAACTTCACAGTTTTCTATTTTATTTTGTTAGCTTGTTTTTATATTTAAAAGGAAGGGATAATATCAAAAAAGACCTTGTATTTTGTGTTTTTTTCCGTATTAAACCTCAAATTAATTTTTTGCCTGAAAAAAACCTTGTATTTTTTCATTTTTTACGATTTGGCCCTTCTAGTCATTTTTCCCATAAAAATTTGTAAAATGTGAGGGTTTTTTAGAGAAAAACTAAAAAACTCAATACTTTAGATAATCTTTTTTGGAAAAAAAAAAATACAAAGTTGAGGGCTTTTTCAGAAAAAATACAAGGTCTATTTCAGGCAAAAAATAAATTTGAGATTTAATCCAGAAAAAACACAAAATATAAAGTCTTTTTTGAGATTAACCCTAAACGGAATAGTTTAATTTCTTCTATACTTTAAATAATCTTTTATTGTCTTAAATACAATAAAAAAAAATTATTATAGATAATGATTTCCAATAAAATGTAGGGTTGTGTTGCTAATAACCACAAAAAAACTCAATTCATATTAAAATTGAAACTCACACTTGAATATTTCTGCAAGTATACCATCCTAGAACCAACTATGCCACACCCTAGGGGCAATTTGGTCAATCTTTAAAACTTAGAAAGAAAGTTTGAAGAAGTAACCTGAATAAATTTTCCAAAACCATGGCCAAGTGGGGAGCCATGATAAAGAGCGAGTGTAGCGCCACATAGGAAAGACGAATAGAGTAAAATGGGCCCCATCACCCATCCCAAATTTGTGGGCCAACAAAAGACATCTCCAGGCTGAATGTTCATGTGGGCCCACGAATCACCAGCACATCGAATTGGAGCAATTTGAGTCCATGGTATAGCTTTTGGATCTCCTACAAAAGAAAACTTATAAGTTAATTAATAAAACAAAAAAAAAAGTATTCTTTTAGAGGCTTAAGAGATTGTAGATAATGTCTTTCAACCTGTTGTTCCTGAAGAGAAGAGTATATTTGTCATTGTGTCTATTGACTGATAGACTGGAGGGCAATAATCTGGGCTGAAATTTAATAAATTGAAAATCAGTAAATCCATATTTTCCGTTTTTCTTCACATAAAATGTTACTTGCATATATACAAAGCAATGGTGTAGAAACAAGGTTATTATTGTAATTTGTACCTTGGAAGGTGTCTTGAAAT